GTACTTAAAACTAATGGAAAATAAAAAAAGCAATCTTATATGTAGAAAACTGAGAAATACATAAAAAAGATGTAAGAAATGGAAATACATTTTTATTGAGAGTAAAAAAAAAAGTAATTTTGTCCTAAATAAGACTAGTTGTTTAGAGAAAAAGGGTTTTGAGAGAAAGTTTAAAGGCAAAGGAAGTTGTAGAAGGTCCTTGAAGGGAAATCTCTAAAAATTATTCTATGTGTACTCAGGATAAACTAAAGATAAATGGAATTTTAAAAATACACTGGTATAAAGTTAAAACTCTACTTTTCTCTCTGGTCAAAACAGAAAGTTTTCTTGGATTGTAAATCTGCTCTTGATAAGACAATGTAAACAAAGGTTTTCTCCTTTTACTGCCAAGAAACATAATTAAAACTTCTCAATGTTAACAGAGCTAGGTTTTTCTACATTCGCCTTTAAGATCTTTTATTGCCACTTTGGTTAAAAAAAAAAAAGAGGTTTTAATCTGTAATCCTATTTAGGATACACTTCATAACTTCCTGAAGTTTTAACAAACTTCCAAGGATTTAAATAGTAAAAAAAGGTCTTTTGGCTAATTAGGCCCTTTTATTTGAGATGTTAAGTTACTTGGAAAAACACTATGTACAACAGTAATCCTTTGGTGGTTGCATGGGGAAATGCTATAACTGCCCAAATATATATGCAAATCCTGAAGTTTTAATGTTTTGGTATAGAGTTATCACATAATATTCTGATTACTTAAAATATTATATGTCACAAAAATAACTAAATTTCTTTGTCAATTGCATAACAATGTCCATCTGAGATTTTGTCATTTAAATAGATTGCTTGCCTTCATGCAAGGACGTCTGGGGGCAATACAACCCGTAATACTTAGGTCCCAGTACCACCACCCTAATGATTAGAACCGGACAGAAGACCCATGATTGGGCCTTCAAATACACAAGAGAAGGGGGGAATGAAGAGCCTACATAACGTCATTTTGAAATTAAGGCCTCCATTAAGAGCAACCTCGGGCTGCACGTAGCCCCAGTTCTTCAGATTGCTCAAGGCTAAAGCCATCCTCGGACCGCCCTCAGATCAGCTAATCAAAAAACATTCCTGTGGTCTGAGTCAAGGCTGGGAACTGTAGACAGTTATTTTGTACAAACTAGCCAATTTCTCACTGCTTGCCTGAACCCCACGTGGGCCCTTTGAACCCACCTCATAATTGGTCATTTTCAAAGGATCCTCAAAAGTCATGATTGGGTCCCACCAAAAGTAATGGACACTTCAAGATACTGAATGGTCAAAGCTGTTACCATGGGTACTGTACAATTGTAATTGGTGCTTATGTGATGATGCCATATGTACAACGTGTGCACTGTAACACCCCCGTCCCTGACCCCATAAAAACCCCACTCGCTACTGTTCGGGGCTTCACCTTCTGCCACTACACCAGTAGGTGGATGAGCCCCGGCTCGAGCTTGTAATAAAGACCCTTTTGTACCTGCATCGGTGTCGGCTCCTTGGGGGTCTCAGGGGACTCTCGAATCGGGCACAACAAGAGGAGCAGGGGCACCTGGCGGCTCAGTTGGTTGAGCAACCGACATTAGTTCAGGTCATGATCTCACAGGTGGTGAGTTCAAGCCCCATGTTGTTGGGCTCTGGGCTGGCAGCTTATGTGTCTCCCACTTTCTCTGACCTTCCCCTGTGCTCTCTCTCTCTCTCTCAAATAAACATAAAAAAGAAAGAGAAAGAAATGTAAAATCTGAACAGACCTGCCACAGCAGAGAAACTGAACCGGTAAGGAAAGAACAGTGGCGCCCCGGGATGGGAGGACAGCACAGCACACTGCTGCGAAAACACCACCCTGCGTCAGCTCCTGGCAGAGACCCAGGGCACAGCTTCAGACCTGGGTCCCCAGGTGTGAATTTAAGACTCCTGAGGCAGTACTGAGCACGGAATCCAGCAACAGGAACACGAGCGAGTGGGACTTACCCAAGATCGGCAGATTTAGTAAAAATCACTCAAGTGCGAGCTTGGAACAGCTGGATTCTATGCATCGAAAATTAGACCTCGGTCCTGGGATAATCGGGAGGGGAAGGGTTAGTGCAGGTGTGCAAGTAAAGGGGCCAAGGCGGGCGCGCTCACTCGGGACGTGGGGGACGGGGGCGCGGGGAACAGGGAGGCTGTGGAGGGCACGGAAGGGCGGGGGAAGCGCGGGTTGCGAGGCGGAATCTGGAGGGACGGAGGACACAGGGGTCTTCGAGGACAGGGGCAGGGACGGGCACAGGGAACTGGTTGAGGAAGGAGGTCGTGGAGCGTGCCAGGTTCCGGAGACGTGCGCAGGCTGCGGGGGTGCTGGGCAGGACAGTCAAGCGCAGCGCAGGTGGAAGACCCGCGCCCCCCAGCCCAAAGCACCTTGGGTCGTGTTGACTCCAGGGCGCGCAGGCGCGGCAGGTACGTTCAAAGCTGTACGCGGTACGAGCGGGGTGGGCTCCACTCCGGGGGGATTCCAGACCTCCCGGAAGGTGCGACGCGGTCCGAGCGGCGGTAGCGCAACCCTGCCCAAGTTGACAGAAAATCACCCAGTCGTACGTTTGCAGCAGGTGAAGTGGGGGTAGAATGAGGCCTCAGCAAGGCCGCGCTGCAGGAGACAGAGCAGGTGTGAGGGAGGGCGGTGCTGACCTCCCGGGCCCGCTGTTGCACTGGACGCAGTAAGGGGTCTCCCAGGTGCAGGGCACAAGACGCTTGTCTGCTGAGACTCTTGTGGACACTATCTGACCAGGAGAAAGAAGGGAAGGAAAAGGGCTTTCAGGGAATGACCAGCAACCAGCCCAGCAGGGACGGCTTTAGTTCTTAATTTTCTTTTTACCTCCACGGAGCCATGCCCTAAGATTAGAGCAGGCGCTCCCTTCCTGATTATTTTCTTCATTCCACGAATCACAAGCCAGAATGCCTGCTACTCTTCTCCACCTGCTTTCTCTGCGGTCTCCCCACTGGACGACTGAGCCTTCAGGGAGCGAGGCATTTCAGGAAGTGGTAGGCTCTGTGCAGGGTTATTTGTGGAAGCCTCTGGCTGAGCACATGGGGGCACATCCTGACTCTCTGCTCCCATCCATGCTTTATCCACTTCCTGAGCATTCGTTGCTCTGAGGGAGCTGAGGAGGGGCTCATGCCTACTGCCAGTGTAGGGCATCTTTCACTGGTCATCACCCACCCCTCACAAGGGCATCAGCCCTACAGGTAGGAGCTCGCATGTTGCTGTGGTCTGTCCACCATCTAGAACAGTGGACGCTGCCTGGGGGTGGCTAGAGTCAAGCAGGGACAACAGGTGGAAAGGTGAGCGTGTGAATGTAGGGTGGGTACTTGCTCTCATTTCCCCTCGTGAAGGGTACCGGAACTTGACACCTGAAATTATCCCACTTTGGCGTAAGGATTATTTTGAGCCGTAAGCAGTTGAGAAGTGGGTACAAAAAAGGCTATGTGTCTGTCCTTTACATCCCTAAAAGCAGGACTCAAATGCGGGTGTCCAGGACTCAAATGCAGGTGTCCATCTGTCCTCCATGCCAGGAGGGACTACCAGTCACAGGAGGGAACTCTAGACCCTGTCAGCCTGAAGGTGGCACAGGGAGCGGGGGGAGGGGGGCAATCCACACGATCCCACTAACTGGCCTTTGTCATTGTTTACCTTCCCATGTCACCTTGAGGCCTGATGTCACTCCGTGTCCTGTGACATCTGCACAAAGTCGTGCTTTTGTTGACCATACTACCATACTTTTAAGCTACCATTCTGGTTTTTTAAAAAATTGTTATAATGTTTTATTTACTTCTGAGAGAGAGAGTGTGAGAAGGAGAGGGTCAGAGAGAGGGAGACACAGAATCCAAAACAGGGTCCAGGCTCTGAGCTGGCAGTCAGCACAGAGCCTGACGTGGGGCTCAAACCCACGAACCATGAGATTGTGGCCTGAGCCGAAGTCGGACGCTTAACTGAATAAGCCATCCATGCGCCCCTAAGCTACCGTTTTAAGTGTCCGTCAGAGTTACAATCATCTTCCTTAGGTATCTAACATCAGTGTCTGTGTCGAACACCTGTTTTTCTCTTAATATTTTATTACAGGGTTCTCAGCGAAGTTGTCAGAAGGGCAGAGGAAAACGAGGTTTCCACCCTTACACCAGCACCTGGTGCCCTCCTAAAGCCTCGGCCAGACCGTCTGTCCTGAAGTCCTGGGTGTGGCTCTGTGCTTGTCTGCGCTCCCGCCCATGAGACTGGCCTGCTGCCGGCTGCATTTCCGATGGCCACTGTGCCAAGTCCCAGGCTGTAAGGGCCCAATCTCGCTCCAGGAGGGAGCGCCCAGTACTCCCTGACCCTCGACCAGGAGTGAGTGAGGCAGCAGGAAGTCACTTGGGAAGAGATGGGAAACTGCCAGACCCCCAGCTATACTGAGAAAGTACTCACCCATGTGTATGTAATGTGAAGGAGCCATCTAGGATGTTCAGAAGCGGTACACATTTGTAACAACAGCAAAGGAGCACCATGGGGGACACAGTCCGCTAAGCACACAACTCTTTGATTGTGGCTCAGGTCATCTCATCTTTTAGGGATGGTGCTCTGCATCACGCTCTGCACTTGACAGCACAGAGCCTCCTTGGGATTCTCTCTGCCCCTCCCCCACTTGTGCATACACTCTCAAAATAAACATTAAAAAAAAAGGTAACAATAGCAAGAAGTCTAAAAATGGGAGAATGCATAGCCAGGTAAATGGAGAAGTATTTAGCTACTGTGCATTTTCAGGGTATCTGAAGAAAAAAACAAGAAAAATGTTCCTGAGGCAGGTGTGTGAGATGAATGTCTGTGAGAACCAGGCTGGGAGTCTGTTGTGCCCGTGGGGGACGGGGGGGGGGGGCAGCTTGCGCCCCTGACTTTGTGCTTGGGAGGTCCCGCCTGTGACACCCTCCCCCCCCCCACCGTGCGTTTCCTCACTCCCTCAGCCGCAGACATCGGATTACAGACAACAGTTAGTTTATTTACTGTGAGAACAGCCCTTACAATAAATAAAACCTAGGAGTACAAAGAATCCGCACACATCTTTAAGCAGAGTGACCAAGAGTCTGAACAAAGACTAATCCCAGGCTGTTTGCAGGAATGGGAGGGGGCTGTCTGTGCCTCACCTGCTCCCAGGCAGGGCACACATCTGGGGACTGGATCCGGGTCCACGGAGCTCAGTGAGAGGGCAAGTCCAGCTAGGGGGTCTCAGCCCAGGGGAGACTGTGGGCTTCTCTGCCTGCTCACCCCAGGGGGCCCCCGACACGTCCTGCATCTGACCGGGAGCCCGAGAAGAGCATTTTCAGTAAGACCCAAGTGGTCTGCGATCGGTGGAGGAGGCGCAGTGACTCGGCCCCATGACCTGCACTCCCAGCTTCCTCTGGCCGCCTCTGCATACCAGCTGGTACCTGGCTGTTCCGAAGCAAGCATATCCCACCCCGCCTTGTAAAGGAAGGCTCCTGCTAGGGGGTCAGGCTTCAGTCCCAGAATGTCCCACAGGCCGTGGGGCCTCTCCCCAGACCTCTGCAAGGCTCCGCAACCAGAGTTGGTGACCGGGGTCTCAGTGCCCTGTGGCCCCCAGGACAGGACGCAGCCAGCCCCACACACACACACACTGCCAGGAGCCAGTGCATGACTTCAGTTCCACTGTGCGCCTCCCCCGGCTCAGAGGGCAGCACTATCCGCCTGGAGTCCCACGCAGCCTGAAGGCCCCGATCCCTGGAGCCAGGGTGAGGAGCCACCGGGGTCCCCCTCCCCCTCACTGGGGAGCCAGCACATCCCCGGGCCCGCCTTTCAGCCTGCATATGGTCATGGGGGTGGGGCTGCTGGACAGAGGTGAGAAGAGGGCCCGTAGGGTCCCCGAGAAGGGGGTCTCTGGGAAGGCATATAGGAGCGAGCCGTCGGTGGCGCTGTAGAAGGACAGGTGCCCGGCCTCGTAGTCCAGAAAGATGCCCACGCGCCGCGGCGGGTCGCGCAGCGGGGCAAAGGCGCGCTCGGACGAGTTGTAGTAGCTGCCCAGGAACACCAGGATCCAGAAGCCGTTGCCGGCGAACAGCTCGCCCTTCTCCTTGCGGTTGGCCGTCTCCCTGCAGACGCCCAACGCCCAGCTGGCCCGCTCCCCCACCTCCACCTCCCAGTAATGACGGCCCGTTGTGAGGGGCTCCCGGCCCAGCACGCAGGGGCCGGGGTCAAAGCGCTCCGGGCTGTCGGGCAGTGCCTGCCGCAGGTCTCCCCGACGCACGCTCTTCCTGTCCTCAGACAGGACCAGCTCTGGGTTGGCAGTGTCAGGATCCAGGGTCACGTCCCCTGCAGACGGAGCGGAGGTCATCGGGTGAGCAATTGGGCTGCCGTGTGCACCCTTGAGGACCACTGTGGGGGCTGGCTGGGGACTGGCCATACCCCATGCCACTCCCACCCTAAAAGCAATCACCTAACCCCCTGCATGCTGTTGCAACTCGGAATGTTCCAGAAGGAAGTCCACACTCCCTCTCCATGCACCTCAAGAAACCCCAAAGGCTCCCTACGTCCATTCTTCCAGCTCCTGGAGCAAGGTGGGAGTGTCCGGCCTGCTCTCACCCTGGGGTCCCCACGTCTGGGGTCTGCACAGGCGCTCTGGCACCTGTCCAACAGGGGGGGGGGTCTGAACTCTGCTCTTCCTACACGCATTGGCCAGCAGCCATGCCGGCCTTCCCTTAGCTGTCATCTGGAACCTGAGCCTTCCAGGACTGGAGGGAGGAACTGGGAGCCTGGGTCTGTTCTGGCGGCAGACCCAACCTGCATGCCCACAGGCGCTCAGGACCAGCACCTCCCCTGGGCCACAAGGGCACCCACCTCGGAACCTCCGCAGGGCCTCCACCAGCCCCGGGACCCTGCACACCGTCCTCATCTCCATGGGCACCACTTCAGGCGGCTGCAACTTCACATCCTGGACCCTAGATAGGGCGGAGCACACGTCACCCCTGTGGCAGCCTGACCCTGCACCCCTCCCGCGTCCCGGGGAGAGGCCGGGGCTCCTACCTGCGCAGGGTGTCCCTGATGTCCTGTGGGAGAGACACACGCGGGTCAGCGCCTGTCCCCTGACCCTGAGCACCCCCACGCCCTGGTCACCAGTGCCCCCCAAGACCTGGCTCTGCCCCCCACCACACACACACACCAATGATCAGAAACCCGCAATGGGGCGTCCCAAGTGCAGCTCAGACACGGGGACCCTGGAAAGATGCCCCTGCATGTGTGGAGAATGTAAGGCACTGGTTACTTGCTTGCCCACCCAGAGCCCCCAGCATCCCTGGGTGGTGGGGACACACAGGGGGGGTCCTGGCCTCCAGGGCTCACAGGTACCTGGCCGTCTGCTGCCTGCCCTCCCACAGGGGCCGGACTCACAGCTGCCTTCCACGTGAGCCCTCTCCCCTTGACATTCCTCTCTCCCGTGACTCACACAGGCACCGTACTCGGCATCAGGGACTGATGTCCTCAGGCCTAACCCCCAGGGCATCAGGACAAGGCTGGGTTTGAGATGGCAACTTTACAGAGGTGGGTCAGGTAACAGGTCACTCGGGTGGGCCCTGATCCGTGACTGGGGTCCTCAGAATATGGGATCGGGGACAGACACACACAGGGACAACCGCGTGAGGGTATGGGGAGGAGACAGTGTGCGCACACCAGGGAGAGAGGCCTCACGCCTAGATCTCAGGCTTCCAGTCCCCCAGACTGGGGCACTGTTGTTTGAACCTCCCACTCTGTGTATTTGTCACACGGCCTGAGCTGAGACATTCAGTGAGTTAAAACATGGGCTGCCACTGGGAAGCACCTCAGCCTGTGGTCTTTCTAGAACATACCCGAGAATGGCAGGGCCTGGGCCACACATGAAGCCCACCCAGTCATTCCCAGCAAATGCCGTGCACCAGATAGCAGGCCAGACCGCGGCATGTAGAAGGAAGTAAGATGTAGTGCCCAGAGAGGGCTTCCCATGAGGTGGGAGATCCTACACACAAGCGATGGTCTGTATGTGTTGGTTTGATGGCGGGAGAAGTGAGGTGCATGACAAGACATAATGGGCCTCAAAGGAACAGGGAGACTGTGAGCTTCTGATGGTACAATGAGGGAGACTGTGCAGGCCTGGAAGAGACATGGGCAAAGGCCCTGGGGCACAAGGATGTGGGCAGAATGCAAAGCAGGAACAGCCTGTCCTTAGTAGTTTTGCTGGGTGGGCAGCCCACCGAGGGAGGCACGGGGGAATGATAGGTACAGTTCTGGTTATCACAAGGCCCTGCCTACACCGAGGGTCATGTGGGGGGCCCTGAGCTCCAGGAAAGGGGCTGGCCTCTGTGTAGACCAGCTGGTCCCTCAGAGACACACATCCCTTTAGGAAAAGGCTCTGTGCGGACCCAGGATGGCTACAGGAGGAGCCTGGGACCCCCAGACTCTGTCACACAGCTGGGACTCAGAGGTGTGAGCTCCTAGAAGTCACCCAAATCCTCACTTCCTCTGTCCATGAGGGCACACACCCCCACCCACCCCAGGTGCCGGGACCCAACTTCCCACTCCATGCAGCAGTCCTCTGCCTACCCCTGAGGTCCAAAGGTACCGGTGCACCTGGCCTCACTCCCTCACACCAGTACACAGGGCACTGCCAGGGGCTGCTCTCCCACCCTCCACCCCCAACACAGGCAAAGGGGGCTCTGGGGCGGGAGTGACAGGAGAAGGGATGGGGGTTCCCAGCCAAGCCAAGACCCAGGCCAGGAGATGTGAGTAGGTGGGGGGGGGGGCAGCGGAGGGCAGGTGCAGGTGGGGGAACAGGCAGGAGTCACTATGGGACAGGTGGCCACATTCAGCATGAAATGCAGGAGTGCAGAAGGCCAGTTGAGACCACAAATCACGTTTCACACAGACCCGGGGCTCTGCCCTCATGTCTGGGGCCGACCCCTCCTCTTTCCAGAACTAGCGGTGCGCCTGGCTTCTCCAGCCCGGTTCACTTCCCCTGACCTTCTTGGCTGGCTGCCCAGACTCCGCCTCACTGACCACAGCCTACTCCTGGAACCCCCACCAGACAGTGGCCTCTGGTTCTTCCTTTTCCCAGGCTTGAAACCTCCTGGTGTCTCAGCAGGGGCAGAAGGACCAAGTTCAAACCCCAGGAGGGCAGTCAGGAGCCTCTGCCTGGTCAGTGAGACGCAGGAGGTCAACCCCACCCCCGTGCAGTGGGAGGCGCCAGGCTGCACATGCAGCGCCCTCACTCCTGCCCTCTGCCAGGAGCCAGGCAGTTTCAGGGCCACACGAGGCTGCTGGAGGAACCCTACAGGACACCTACCAAGCTTCTTGGCCCAAGGGACCGGAACCTCTGGAGCTACACTGGTGACCCACAGACCCCGGATGCCACCTGTCACATGGCCCAGTAGGGCTCCGGGACAGGCAGCAGAGCAGTTCTGCGGTTGTGCATGGAGTTCTGCATCTGTACGCACTCACACTCCGCAGGACCCGCAGCCACGTGTGGCCTGGCCCAGCTACCCCCACCCCCACCTCTGACAGGTGGGTGATGCGGAGGTGAGCGCGCAAAGTGCCCGCTCCGTGGCGAATTCCTCTGCTTTCCTCCCCCCTGGCGCATAAGCCCGTCCCCACCCAGAGCCACTCCCCCTCCCCTGCGCACACCCCAGCTCACCTGCAGCAGCCCCAGAGCTGGCAGCTGGCAGCGCCCCTCCAGATCGGCGATGAGCTCAGCCAGCTGCGTGCTCTGCTGCCCCAGGCGGGCAGCGCTCTCCCGGAGTGGGGGCAGGACCTCCAGTTCCTCCTCCTCCAGCCTCTGCAGCAGCCGCTGCTCCTCCTCCGCCAGCAGCCGGCGAAGCCGCTCGAACTCCGCCAGCACATTCTGCCGCTGGCTCTCCACCATCTTCTGCAGGGCGGACAGGGCAGCTGAGGGCCCGGGCCCCCACCAATCCCCCACCTAGGGCCCCCACGCCCTGTCCCGTCCCCAACTTACCCCACGGGAGGGTTACACACAGACAGAGTCCGGCACAGGGACCCCTCTGAATACGCAGCACAAGGGAGGAGCCCGCCTGCCTGCCACCCCCATGCTGGGACCCTGGGCACCTCAGGCACCGCGCCACCTGCCTGCCACAGGGCACAGGTCTCCTCAGCCTGGGCCTGGAACAGCAGCGCATCCTCCATTTGCTTCCGCAGATGCTCCAGGGACTTCTCCAGCTTTCCCTACAGGGAGTTGAAGCCGCTGTGACTCTGGCTAGGCTGGCCCTGTCCCCACTCCAGTCAGCCCCAGCTGGCACGACACATGGGACAGCCTCAAATCAACCAGAGAGGCCCTCCCAGCACCGAGGCCCTTGCCTATGTCTCCGATCTCCCACACCCCCAGCCTCGACTCAGCCACCTTTCCCTCCCCACGCCTTCTCTGGGCTCCCTACAGGCCTCACATCTCCCCACCTGACTATGCTCTCCATTCGCCTTCTAGATGGACTAAGGCCCGGGAGGCGGCGCTTTTGGGGACCTAGGACCCCAGGGTGTGTGAATGCCAGGCACAGCCCGTTGGGGACAGGTAAGGATGGTGTGCTGGGCACCCCCAGGATGAAGGGCAGCTACCCGCTAGTACAAGGAAGGAGGTCTGAAGGTGCCACCCCAGAGAGGGCCTATCTGGAGCAGATGCAGGAAGAGCCCTCTGCCCTCCTCCTTTCTGCCTCAAGGCAGAGCAGAAATTTCACATAAGAAGGGTACCCTCCCTGTCTGTACTGGGAAGGGGACAGCACTCATCACAAGGTCTTTGTCAGACAGAAGTGTGCCTGAACGGACCTGATAACTCAGAAAGCCCTGATCTTCCATCTGCTCCCCCCATATATTCTCTAGTTCCTTTCCCACAACTTACCGGCCCTACAAGTCCTAAGTCACTTTCCTTCATCTAGCCACTTCTCCCCAGCTTATGGTCCTTTGTTAAAGTGGAACATAATCCCATGTCTATAGGAGTTTTTAATTTCATCTCTGTGAAGCCCTTATGCCATGTAACATTTAAAAGACTAACAAAATTATGGGGCACCGGGGTGGCTCAGTCTTGGCTCAGGTCATGATCTCGTGGCTCATGAGTTCAAGCCCCGGAGCCAGCTCTGTGCTAACAGCTCAGAACCGGGAGCCTGCTTCAGATTCTGTGTCCCCCTCTCTCTCTGCCCCTCCACTGCTCATGGTCTCTCTTTCTCAAAAATAAAATAAACAGTAAAAAAAAAAAAATTATTTAAAGACTAATAAAATTATGTGGTTTTTTTCACTTGTTACTCTGCCTTTGTTAGCTTAATTCACAAGCCTCTGTCACTGAACCTAACAGGTTAGAGAAAAAGCTTTGCCCTCCCCTACAATAGGAAGGGGTTTAAGTGCTACCCCAAGAGGCTGTATCGGGCCAGCCGGAAGGGGCCTCTGGAGAGCTGCTGGTCACTCTCTGCTCCTGTTGTCACTTTCCACTCAGTGACAGGAGAGCACATTTGCTAGGCTGACAGAAGGGGTGGGGCATCCTCGTGTGGTACCTCAAAGTGGGAAGCAAGACTACAGGGGTGTACGTCAGGACAAGCCCACAGATGCATGTCAGGGTCTGAGTTTGTCCTGTTCTAAAACAGCAACAAACCGGCCAAGTATTGGTTCCAGTGGCTAAGCCCCGTCCATGGAGCAGGCCAGCAGACACACACCCCCGACCATGAAACAAAACACAAACCAGTAAAATGCTGGCAAGGTGTCCCCCATGTGCTCCGTACCTCGGGCTCCAGGAGCAAACGCTCCCAAAACCCGGGGGGGGTAGGGGATACTGCAGATGCGTCTGCCCTGAACTCTCAGCAGTTGTGTGCGGGCTGGTTTGTATTTTAAGGAAATGCGTTTCCAGGACAGGTAAGAGGCTTCGCCGCCAGGGGTCAAAGCAGGGCGGATCCCTGGCAAGTCAGGTGGCATCAGTGGCCTCACGCATCCCACTCAGAAAGCCTGGCACCTCGTGGGGTCCTGGTACCTTGCCTCTCAGGGCAATGGCTCTGTCCCACCCATCCCAGCCCAGCTGGCTTCTCATATCTCCTCTCCACCCCACTGCCCTGCCTTGCCTTGCCCACGACCCTACGAGGGTTGAGTCCGAGTCTGTTTACACAGCCACATCTAAGGTTCTCTCCCTGCTTTCTCCTTTTCTGGGCTCCATCCCTGCCAAGTCCTCACTCCAGACTCCCACCATGTCAGCCTCTCAGGCAGCACGCCTATCCCCGATCTACAAGCCGGTGCCCCACTGGTGAGTGGTGTCCCAGGCGCGGGATGGCGCCGGCCGGGGAACCGCTGCTCGAGCACTCCCTGAACCCCCTGCACCCCGGCCAGGAACACTCCAGTTCCCGGTTCCCGCCAGTCCTCGGATCCCGCACGGGCCGAGCGGGATCCCGCTCCCCACCTCCGGGCCCCGACTCCAGCCAGGCCCCGCCGCACACCTTGAGGTCGTCGGCCGCGTCCTGCAGCGGGCGCACGCGGTGCGTCCAGTGCTCCCCGGAGCGCTCGCAGGCGGCGCACAACAGGCGCAGCTCGTCTCCACAGAAGGCAGCCAGCGGCTCGCGGTGCGCGGCGCACACGCCCTGCGGGACGGGCGACGGCGGGTGCAGGCGCCGCGCCATCTCGGCCATCTTGGCGAGCGGGCGGTTGGGCCGCAGGTTCCTCTGCGGGGACAGCTCGCGGCACTCTGGGCAGGCGTACGGGCCCTCGGGCTGTCCCCAGCAACGTCGGATGCACTCGCGGCAGAAGTTGTGGCCGCAGTCGGTCATCACAGGGTCGGTGAAGTAGTCAAGGCAGATGGCGCAGGTGGCCTCCTCCTGGAGGTTAGTGGACAGGTCGGGGGCGGCCATGGTGCTGGTGGGGCGGAGGAGGGCGGCGCTCTCCGCGGGCTCGGGCGGAGGGTGGCCTCAGTCGCCGGGACTCCTGGGAGGGCGCTGGGACACTAGGGCTCCGGGGACGCAGGCTTCGGGCAACCCGAGGTCGCGAGGCTCAGGCACAGGGGGACGCGGGGACTCCGGGGACGCGAAGCGCCAGGGGTCCGGGGGTTGTGGGCTCCGGGGCGCGGGGCACCTGGGGTCGCGGGACTCCGGGCTCCAGGGACGCGCGGGGCACAGAACTCCAAGACGCAGACAGGAAGAGGAGCCGCGGCGGAAGCCGGAAGCACCTGGCTTTTTTTTCTTTCTTTCTTTTTTTTTTTTTTGGAACAACCCGCTTTAGCCCCAGATTGGCTGAGGTGGGTCACGCGGTCCGTGGGCCGGTCGGGATTGGAGGCTGCAGGCCAGCCGACCTCGCGGCGTCTCGGCAGCTGCTTGGGCGCGCGCTGCTGGCTCTGGGTCATCTCCTCCTCGGATTCCTGAAAGGGACGGTTGCAGGACCCGGGGCAGCGGGCGCCCCGCACGTTCACTGGATTCCCCGCGCTGTACAGTGACTGCGAGGACAAGGGGAGCCTGAGCCCGCTTGTGGCGAGCTCCGGGACGTTCCCCGTGGGCCGGGCACGATCAGGATCTGTGCAGAAAGGAGCTGGGCCTGTAGGGACTCTGGCTTTACGGTAGACTTTCACCGACTGGGATTCTGGGGTTCCCGGCCTGTCGGGAGGTAGTTAATGAGCCTGAAACTGCGAGGGCGGGGGTGGGGGTGAAGAGACTCTTCCACCCGAGATCCATGATCCCTGCAGGTTCACCTTCAAGGCCGGACGGTTCTGAGGGTTTTAGCGATGCAGTTTGAAAAGTTTCATTTTCCCACGCCCCCCCCCCCCTGACACCCGCGAAGGGTGCACACGTGGAAGCTTTGGAAGACAAGGTGGACCGGCTCTACGTGTCCCAGTGACCAATGCGCAGGCAGCATCCTTTCGTGGGCGTGTGTCGAAGGGTAGCACCCCACGCTGCGCCTGGCACGGATGTCCCCACTTAGAATTGGCCCAATGTGACACCCAGCGGCTTTCAAAGTTTCCTTTATAACGCGTGTGTGAATGCAGTCTCTTGACATTTAACGACTTTAATCGCGATTATAGATTAGCTTTGCGAAACCGCCTTGCGCAGCCAGCCAGTGGTTCACAAGCGCTCCACCGTAGATAGGTCTGGCTGGTGGCCTGTGCTGAGCGGGACCACCGCACCTTCCGGAGAAACCAGGGACGCCCGCGACCCCTTTCCCCCGGCCTGTGCCCCTATCCCTTCACCCACAGGGTCACTGTAGAGATGACCATCTGGCCTGACTTGGGGGCCCCCAGGCAGAAGAAGGGCTGCAGGGGGCCGGAGAATTGCTGCTGGGCGTAGGTGTGCAGATGGGACCCGTCCTTCAGGTTGTAGAAGGACACTTCCCCCGCCTCAAAGTCCAGGAAGACCCCCATGTGGCTGGGGGGCTCGGCCAGCGTGACAGGGGTTGGGGCGGATGCGCTGGGCATGTACTTCTTGCCTTTGCACAGCTGCACCACCCAGAACCCATTTTCGGGACACTTGGGGACCCTGTCCCTCCGGCTCACGTTGTCCCTGCACACGCCCAGAGCCCAGAGTGCGTCACCGGTGAGGTTCATGCCCACCTCCCAGTAGTGTCTGCCAGAGGAGAAAGTCTCCCGGCCCACGGCGCAGGGGTAGGCCAGGAACCGTTCCTTGCTGTGGAGCGCGCCCTCCAGTGGCGTGGTCAGGTAGCGCCTCTGGCGGCTCTCGTATAAGAGAAGGTAAGGATAGGCAGTGGTGGGATCCAGCACCACATCCTCTGCAGACAGGCGGGGGATGGGCAGCGAATCATCCCTGCTCTCCCTAACCACCCCCCAGGGCTGAGTCCAGCTGTGGACCTGGGTCACTGGGGTCCTTCCCCCAGCTGTCTACATTGGTGGTGCTAAGGAGCTGAGAGCTGGGGGGCCATTGGGGCATCTCACCGTGTCCCCCCATAGGAATGGAAAGGGTATAGAGTGTGAGTGTCACATACAGGACGGTCCCCTGCCCCCCTGCTTGGCCCCTGTTTACCTTGGAAACTCTTGAGCACCTCTATCTGTCCGGGGACCCTGCAGACTGTCCTCAGCACAGTGGGGGTGACCTCTGGGTACTGCACACTCAGGCTGTTCTTCCTCCAGTGGACACAGGGTCATTGTCCCCTCCAGCCCCATGCAGAGCCCTCCCTGTGCCCATCACTGCCTCCCTCCCCCATAGGTGGCCACAAACCTGTTCAGGAGCTCCTTCATATCCTGCAAGACACAGAGGGAGGGAGATTGGCAAGGCTCCTTTAGGGGTCTAAGGTGTCGCTTCTGCCTTTCTGGTCTGTAGAGCTAGAGGCTACGGTGTTTTCCCATGGCCCTGTGTCCCCTCTCCAGAGCATAACCCAGACTGGGCTGCACACAGGAAGCCTATGCTCTGGCCCGGCCCAGCCTCCTGCTCTCCCCACATGATGCCTGTGTGGTGGGACTGGGGGGACAGGGCAGATGACCACCAGTGTGCCTTCTGTAGTTCAGCCTCACCTCAAGTGACAGAGAAGGCAGCGGGTTAGCTTGCAGATAGGCTGCTTGTTAAAGAAGACAGAACATTCCTCTAGGCCTGGGCTAGTGGATAACCTGTCATTTAGAGCAGGACCCTTCCTGGAAACAGGACCCATGGAGGTCAGGACAACCGACCAAAAGCTGGGCCTGAGCCGGGCAGACAGGAAGGAGGCAGGCGTTCCCTGCATGTGGGGTTTGCTTCTGTCGTGGACACGCGCACGGGAGTGTGTGGGATCTTATCTGTCCCCGTGGATCGCATCACCCCACATGGTTGGCGAATCACCCTCTTGTCAGTTGATATAACCCCCCACTTTCAGGGCCTCAGTATGCTGGCCTGTCCCTGCAAGGCCGCTGTGGCCTCTCGTGGTTGCCATCCTGGGGCACAATCACATGACTCCCTCCTGCCTGTGAAGTCATGGGTGCCTATCTGGGTCAGTGTGTCCGTGCCCCACATCACCACAATGATGACAGCTGCCCCCAGGCCGCCTCCCTGGGCTAGAAAAGGAGTGGACACACATCTGCAGGACGGGAGCCTGTCATGGGCTGACTGCTTCAGATTCATATGCTGGAGCCCCAGGCCACAGAACCTCAGAGGGGGACTGTACTTGGGGATTGGGTCAGTAAGAGCTGATGACGGTATAACAAGGTCACTAGGGTGAGACCCTAACTCCCTAACATTGGTGTCCTTGCAAGGAGAGGAGTTTAAGACACAGACAGGCACAGAGGGATGACTGTGCAAGGACACAGGGAGAAGATGGCCATGTATACATCAGAGAGAGAGGCCTGGGGAGGAACCGGCCCTGCTGGTGCATGGATCCCACACTCCCCGCCTCCTGTGGTCTTTGTGAGGCAGCCTGAGGTGAGTCAGAGCCTTCCCCGGTGTGTATTAGTTCCAGAAGTCACTCAGTCAACCACAGATGGGCCTGTGCTCCCCCCACCCAACTCAGGTGAGCAGGGGTGCTGAGGTCTCCTCTCCCCCTCCCAGGTAAGTAGGGGTGCTGAGAACTCCCCACAACCCAGACAGGTGAGCAGAGGTGCTGAGGACTCCCCCCCCCAGACAGGTGAGCAGGGGTGCTGAGGTCTCCTCTCCCCCCGAGGTGGGTAGGAGTGCTGAGGACTCCCCCCAGACAGGTGAGCAGGGCTCCTGAGGTTCTCCCCACGCCCCCAGGTAAGCAGAGGTGCTGAGGTATCCTCCTCCCCCCAGAGGAGGTATCCATCCCCCCAAGAGCAGGCGTCCCCCCAGGAGCAGGCATCCTACCCCCAGGAGCAGGCGTCCTCCCCCCAGGAGCAGGCGGCATCCCCCCAGGAGCAGGCATCTCCCCAGGAGCAGGCATCCCCCCAGGAGCAGGGTGTCCCCTCACCTGCAGCATCTGCAGTGGACTGTGCTCATTCCTGTCTTCCAGCTGCAGCAGCAGCATCTCCAGGGAGTGACCCTGCCGCTCCAGGGTGGCCGAGCTCTCCCGCAGTCTGGCCCCCACCTCCTCGTCCTCGGCCTTCAGGGCCTGGAGCAGACGTTGCTCCTCCTCCAGGAGCAAGAGGCTCACCTTCTCAAACTCCACCATGATGCGCCGCCTTTGCTCCTTCACTTTCTCCTGCAGGGGGCAGGCGGTGGGAGGTGCAGGTGTGAGGCTCTGCCAGGACTCCCAGCTGCCCAGTGGCATCCGCTCCCTTTCCCGAGAGGGCAGCTCCCAGGATGCTGGCACCGCCCCCCCCCCAGGGCCCTGCTGAGGCACGGAGAAGGAGCCAACCCAGCAGGGGAGGGAGCCCCTCTGTGGGGTCACCAGCTGAGCCCTAAGCAGCAGCACCCAAGTGTCCCTGTGCTCTCCTCCTTGCATCTCTGATCCGTGTTCTGGATCCTGATTCTATCGAAAATCCCAAGCTCCAGGTATGTGTTCGCATCCACACAGGGCTTGTGCAGGCCTGCCCACACAATGCAGCTCCTGTGTGCATCTCGCTCCCAACACCTGCCTGCCATTCCGCCAAGGTCTGCCTCTCCCTGGCCTGCAGCCTCCCAGTCTTCATCATCTCCTCCCGAAGGTGCCCCATGTCCACCTGCAGCTTCAGCTGTGGGACACACAGACCGCAGGGGGTTGGAGGTCAGAGAATCTGCACAGTGCCCCCACCCCAGAGAGGGATGTGAGGGGGTCCTGGGGAAGGACACCACCCAAGACGTGCCCCTTGGGCAGGACGGTTATTATGAGCTGGAGCCAATCGAGGAAGAGCACTACAGAAAGATGCCTTCCTGAGCCTCCCCTTATCTGGTAAAGGAGAGAAGTGCCAGGAATGCCATCTTCCAAGGTTTATGGCGCTACAAGAAGAAGGCAAGCTGGCGCCCAGATGCACCTGCACTAACAGCCCTTCTCTTCATGAGTTTCCCTATATTTGCTTTCTGCTGGACTCTGCACATGTCTCCAAGCCCACACACTGAATCTGAAACCCCAGCATGGCGTGAGGAGGTGGGGTTCCTGGGGGCGATCAGGTCTCAAGGGCGGCATCCCAGGAATGGGATTGTTGTGCTCAGACAAGAAACCCCACAGAGCTCCCCACCCAGTGAGGACAGGGAACAAGGAGGAGAGCTCTTACCCAATGGTGCTGGAGCCCTAGCTGGACAGACCTTGGGCAGGACCCCCAGAAGTGTGGATTCCGGCCACCCGCTTTATTGTGGGAGCACATGGACACTTGGGCCGTATGTTACAGGGACTCTTCTCCTGCCTGGTGCACACACCAGGATGTCCCTGTGCCCACCTTGTACTCCTGCACCGCCTCCTCAATGGGGACCACCCTGTGGGGCCGATGTTCCCGGGCCTCCCTGCACACCACACAGATGGGGATCTGGTCGTCCTCACAGAAGAGCTTCAGCAGCTCCTGGTGCACTGCGCACAGGTCCCTGCTCTGGAAGTCGGGGTGCTGCCGTGCCATCTCGGCCATCTTGGTCAGCAGGCGGTTGGGCCGCAAGTTCCTCTGGGGGGACAGCTCCCGGCACTCGGGGCAGGGGAAGGAACCCTTCCGCTTCCTCCCCCCTTTCCTGCCTTTGGCCTTCTCCCAGGTCAGCCGGATGCACTCCCGGCAGAAGTTGTGGCCGCAAGAGGTCATCACCGGGTCCGTGAAATAGTCAAGGCAGATGGAGCATGTGGCCTCCTCCTGCAGCTTTCTGGCAAGTTCCAAGGCATCCATGCCTCCTGAGCAGGAAGTAGAGTGTCCCTCACACCCCTGTCTGTGGCCGGCCCCACCCACTTTAGGGAGAATCTTGCTAAATTGAGTTAGAGCACCCCCACACACAACCTCCACATGATGTCTGATCTGGCTCCTCACCTCCCACTGACCTGTCTACAGCAAGAATCCTGTTAGGCCAGTTTGGCAAGAATCTCCCTCTTAGTGGTTTTCCATCACTGACCCCCCACTTCCCTGAACCGCCATAACCCCCCACTTGTCCAGCATATACTGAGTGAGCCGGTTCTATGCTGGGGTCTCTCAGAGCCTATTGCAGTACTCCTGAACAAAGTCTGTCATTACTGTTCTGACAACGGGCTAGCTCTGGTGTTCCTCGACAAGGCGCAGTGCAGGGCACACAGTGTGTGTGCATACATGCACGGACGCGCGCACACATGAGCGCGCACACACACATGCACACATACACAAAAGCGCATGCACATGCACAAAACATATTCCCACATGTGTGCATGCAGGCATACATGCACACCCGCATACACACAGTATACACACATGCACGGGACATACATGCACTCATGCACAGAACATGCACACATGCACGCACATACGCCCAAGCACACACACAAACACACATATACAAACACACACATGCACGCAATGACACACATGTACGCACAACACACATGCACACATTCACGCACACACATTCACACATGCAGGTATGCACATAATACATACACAAGTGCACGCACACACATGCACACACATATAAACAGGCACCCATGCACACACATACATGCACACACAAACACATGCACACATAAACAGGCACACATGCACACGCATACATGCATACACATGCACATGCACACACAAACATACACACATGCACACACATACACGGTCACACTGGGCGTGTGACCTGGTCACTCCCTGACCCTAGGCCATGGAGGTCCAAAGCCCCCTCTAGTTCACAGGGCGGTTATTGGGGCCCTGTTAGGGGATTTGAACATCATTTCTGAACTTCAGTCACTATCCCAGCGCCTCCCATGGTCCGTGACACTGGTTCAATTTATCTGGAGCTGTCTCTGCAGACACTGTGGGGGTCAGTGTCTCCCTCTGCTCTCTGCCACCCTCAGGTGCACTGCTGCCCACCCAACAGAAACGCGGCCAGCGGGGCAAGCTGGTGAGTTGGGGCTCTGGATCAGAATCCGGGCCAGCGGCCCAAGGGCCCCAGGTCAGTGAAGCTGGACAGGCCACCCTCAGTCCGAGAATGCTTTTCTGTAAATGTGGGGCGAAACCAGTTCACCAGTCTGGTTCCAGGTGGTAACCATCCTGGAAGCCGGGTCTGCTCCTGGGGCAACAGAGCACGCAGCCCGCACCTGAGCCTCTGAGCGCACGGGGTGACAGCCCGCCTGCCTCCTCCCTGGAGGGACTGGTACTCACCACCCGGGAGGGGGCCACAGGACGTCCGTTGTCCCCAGCCACGCCAGCCACGCGCGCGCAAACAGCGCCCCGGAAAGCCTGCGTTTGCGCAGTGAAGACCAAGGAGCGGTGGCCGCGGGGGCGTGGGGGCCCCGGGGGTGCTGGGCTTTGTGGCGTCAGCATGGGGGGGGCGACCTCAGAGACAGGGGCGGCGTGGTAGGGGCTAGTTCTCAGGTGGGGCAGAGGATGGGTGCGGGGAGGGTTTGTGGGGCTCACTGTCAGAAACCTGGGGATGGGGGCAGGGACAGCTCAGAGTGGGTCAGGGGTGGGAGGGAGGAGGTTTTGGCAGCCCAGCCGGGAGGAGGGAAGAGGGATGATAGAGAATGGAAATTTGTGTTCAGGAAGGGAGCAAACGCCAGTGGGGGATGATATTTGTGAGAGGCTGGGAGAGGGTTGTGGGGCGGTTGGGGGGGCAAGGGGTGGATCCCCAATGGGGAAGAGATGAGAGGAAAAACGAGTAAGTGTGGGCTCCCAGCGCAAGTGTGGGCTCCCAGCGCGGGGGGATGAGGAGGTGTAGGAGGGCAGGGCCCAGCCGCAGGAGGTTAAGGGGGTAGGGTGGGGATGAAATGGGGTCGCTGGGGGGAGGCAGCAGGGCGGCACTCGGTTGGGGGAGGTGTAAGGTGGCAGGGCCCCGCAGGGGGAGGTGAAGGGAGGGATCCCTGGGTGAGGGTGGGGATGAAGTAGAGTCACTGGGGCAGGGGGAGCAGCGGTGTGTGTGGAGGGGGGAGGCTCGCACAGCAGCCCCGCCTCTCTGGTGGTGACTTCCAGTGGTCGGGGAGGGAGCAGCGTCCAGATCCCGGGTTAGGGAAGGAGGACCGGATCAGACGGGAACTGGTCATGGTGTACCCTTTGGGGTCCAGCCGAGTCCACGGCAGGTCGCTGCCCACAACCCGGACGTAGGGCTGGCTGGTGGCTGCGCGTCCCCGAGTCCTAGTGGACATATGAGGAAACTGAGGCTGGGCCACGGCAAGAAGGCAGGAAAACAGGCATACGGGTGTAGACGCACACAACCAGGAGAGTCTGGGCGCAGCCCCGTGTGTGCGCCTGGGCCGTGCAAGAGGGGCGGGCGTATGGCCTGCCAGAAGAGTTTGCACTTGTTTCTGATTCTAATACATCCTGCAGGAGCCACGACCCCTCTGCTGTCCTTTCCATCAGCCAGGGTCTTCTGGGCGGAGGGTGTCTTTCACTCTAGGAAATAGAATCACGGAATGTTCAAATCTTGAGTTAAAAAATGTCAAGAAGACCCACGAGAGAGCAATGCATCCCGTCGCAAATTGCCCAGATCTGCTGTTTACTGTGTTTGCTGCATCTGGCCTGTTGTTTTGTCTAGGTAGAGAACGTCTTTGTTATTTAAGCAAACCCCAGACAGCACTGGGTTCATGTGTGCCTGCCCCAGACAATACCTGGAGGAGGACAGATGAAAAGACAGGAGAAACCACACTGTGTGTGCGCTGGGGAGCCTGACAATGTTAATTATGGGATGTAATGCGTCTTATGAGGGGGTAAATGGCCTCTGTGGGGAAAACAGCTTCTTTAGGAAAGGCAAGTGGGTTTCTGGGAGAACAAGAGATAAGAAAGCTGTGATCCATCTGTCTCCACAGCTGCCGGTGGTCTTTCCATGTCCTTGGGGCCCAAAAGCTGCTTAGAGAGGGGCTTTACAGCAGCCTCATTTCCCAGAACTCACTGCTTTTAGTCAAACAAGAGAAGCCCCAAGGAGGCTTTCCTTTGCATCTGTTGAATCTTAAGTGACTTTATCTTAAAATAATATGGCAATTCTGGGGTCCAGAGTGGCCCCCACACTTCCCACACATCTCTAAAACTGTTTCTTACATAACCACCACTGACCATAATTCCTATATGCCCACTAGTCCTTGCTGACACCACATCTGCCATCTCCGCATTTGTTGAAAAGGTTAGTCTTGAAAAGAGATATTTGAAGCCTTTAAGTCGGTAAGATTCCTCTTCTCTTTCATGCCAGTGACTGCAGACATGGGGTGGGGTGCCCTGTGGAAAGAAGCCCTGTTTTCTGGATCTGTCGCCTTGCTTCCTTACCGCATTACTGATTTTGTCCCTTCCTCCTGGGAACTCCTTGCCAAAGAAGGTTTGCTTTAAAGCTGAGCTTTATGAGGGGGCTACACAGTGGGATGCCCTCGGTCTCCTCCAGGGAGCTTTAATTTTTTTTTAATTTTTTTAAATTTTGATTTTTTTGAGAGACAGAGACAGAAAGACAGAGCACTAGTGTGGGGAGGGACAGAGAGAGAGAGAGACAGAATCTGAAGCAGGCTCCAGGCTCCTAGCTGTCACCACAGAGCCCAGTGCGAGGTTTGAACTTGTGAACTTTGAGATCATGACCTGAACTGAAGTTGGACACTTAACTAACTGAGCCACCCAGGTGCCCCTCCCCTGGGGAGCTTTAAGCAACCCTGTGCATGGGCAGCTCAGAATCTCTGTGGAGGGACCTGGCACCACAATTTTTAAAGCTCCCAGAAAACCTCTCACTGTAAGAAAAAATACAATAAAAAACAAGATGTTTGGTTCTCCCTGTTGAAAATAAGAGACTTTCTTTCTCTGTCCTTTTGAAATGCACATAACTCTTTTCAATGACTGAAGAAGGACCTGGGAACATCTCTTGGGTGGTCTGGTTGAATGTTCATTTGACAACAAAATTGTTTTCTTTTTCTTCTCTCTTTGTTGAGAGCTTCTCTGGATTGGGAGCAGATTTCATTGCATTTCATTATATTTCCCCAGCATGATCTAATTCACCTAAAGATTTTGATTTTTGGTTTTTAGCCACATTTGCCACTTTTAATCAGAGGAACAGAAACATAAAATTAAAGTATGAAAGGAAATATAAAGTTTCAAACGACGAGTTTTGTGCATTTATTCTTCTGAGGCATAGGGAAAAGAAATCTTTCTATCCTCTTAGGTTTGAGCCTGAGGTCTGCGAATTAAGCTGACAAAAGACAGAATAACAGAAGAAAAGTCTATAGATTTTATTTGATTTTTTAATGTACATAGGGGCTTCATAGAAAAGAATAGAAAAACCCAAAGCAACAGACTTGGGGGCCTATATGCAATTTTAATAAAGGGTGATATGTTGTGCAGAACTGACAAAAGGGACTTTGGGCTTCTTTGGAGGTTAAATAGTGGGAAAGTAAAAGGGTTATAGTAAGGTTTTCTTATGCAGACTCATCTCAGTGCTGTCTCCATCTCTGGTAATAAGGTAATTGTCCCTTTCTTGCTATAAGGATGGCGGCAACATCTTTACAAGGGGTATTTATGTCCTGCTTTTAGGCAGAGAGAAGAGCATAAAACCCATCCTGTGTGTGTGTGTGTGTGTGTGTGTGTGTGTGTGTGTGTGTGTGTTTTCTCACTTGTCTTCAGCTCAAAATAATCGTATGCCAGACTGGCATGTTCAGAGGTTACTATTTCGATGCCCTGATGTATTGGATCTGAAGTGGTTATAGCCACAGATACACAGAGCTGGGTACTAGTTAAAGGTGGTAAAGATATTTTATTCAGCCAGAGTAGAAAGATGCTCAGTATACAACTGAGCTGAACTCCAAATACACCAGAGACAGCTGGAGATTTCTACCAGGGAGCAGAGAGAGGGTCTCAACCCTAACAGGCTACTACAGACAGGGTGGCTTATAAACAACAGCTTGCACAATGTTGGAAGCTGGAAAGTCTGAGATTGAGGTGCTGCTAGGTCAGCGTCTGTTGAAAGCCTGATTCCTGGTTCATGGTCAGTGTGTGCTTACTGTGTCCTCACCGGTGGATGGGGCAAGAGTACTCTCTGGAGTGTCTTTTTTTTTTTTTTTTAATTTATTTTTAATTTTTTTTTAATGTTTTATTTATCTCTAGGAGAGAGAGAGACAGTGTGAGCAGGGGAGGGTCAGAGAGAGAGGGAGTCACAGACTGGAACAGGCTCCAGGCTCTGAGCTGGCAGTCAGCACAGAGCCCGACGCGGGGCTCAAACCCATGAACCGCGAGATCATGACCTAAGCGAAAGTCGGACGCTTAACCGACTAAGCCACCCAGGCGCCCCTCTGGAGTGTCTTTTATAAGGGCACTAATATCACCAGTGGGGCCCCCACCCTCAGGAGCTCACCACCACCCAAGGACCCTGCTTCCAAAATCCAAAACACTGGCAGTTACTTGTCAACATACAAACCTTCAGTCGATGGCACTGGGTTATTAGTATTCTTGCTCAGGCGAGTCAAAGATGTACGAAAATGTCTAAAGCAGGGAGTGAGGGGGATCGCCTAGGCGGCTCAGTTAAGCATCTGACTTCAGCTCAGGTCTCAGGTTGTGATCTCATGGTTGGTGAGTTTGATCCCCGCATCAGGCTCTGTGCTGCTAGCCCAGAGCCTGCTTGGGATTCCCTCTATTCCTCTCTCTCTTCTCCTCCCCCCACTTGCCCTTTCTCTCTCTCTCTCTCTCTCTCTTAGAATAAATTTAAAAACTTAAAAAAGATGGGGGGTGAGGAACTTGCTCAGACATCAAGTGGCAGGGGTGGGGCCTCTTGCCAGGCAGACTAAACAGGGTTCTTGCTACGGCTGGGTTGTGCTGGGCTAGACGCAGGAGCCCACGGGTGAGGTCTCGTGGAGGAGAGGGCTCAGAGGAGCCTCGCAGGTTTGGTCAAGGGGAATCACTGTCAGCAGTGACGCGTGAGCTTGCACGCCTGCAGTGCAGTGGGATGCTGGTGTCAGATGGGGGTCTGGAGGGCCAACCCCCTGCCCCCGGGCACAGCAGGACCCTTCTGGAAGAACCCTCCCAATTGGGATCTGGCTCCTAGAGAACAGGATGCTTACCTGTCTTCTATCAGGAATCTGGTGGGAGCGGCCTTAGGTCAAGTGCCCACAATCCTGCAGCATCAGGCGGGGTTCCGGTTTGTCTTTGGAAACTGCACAGAGTCTGGGGCGCCTGGGTGGCTCAGTTGGTTGAGCATCCGACTTCAGCTCCGGTCAAATTCTCACAGTCTGTGGGTTCGAGCCCTGCATCGGGCTCTGTGCTGATAGTTCAGAGCCTGGAGCCTGCTTCAGATTCTGTGTCTCAGGGCGCCTGGGTGGCTCAGTTGGTTAAGCGTCTGGCTTTGGCTCAGGTCATGATCTCATGTGTCGTGGGTTTAAGCCCCGCGTCGGCTCCGTGCTGACAGCTCAGAGCCTGGAGCCGGTTTCAGATTCTGTGTCTCCCTCTCTCTCTGACCCTCCCCTGCTCATGCTGTCTCTCTCTCTCTCAGAAATAAATAAAACATTACAAAAAAATTTTTTAAGAAAAGATTCTGTGTCTCCCTCTCTCTCCACCCCTCCCCCACTCACTCTCTCTCTCTCAAAATAAAAAAATAAAACATAAAAATTTTTTTTAAAAATCTGCACAGAGTTATTCTTGTCTTCTTCTACTTTGTGTAGTCCCTCAAATGTCTGCAGGTCTCCCCCCACCCCACCCCTTTCCCCCTGTCCCCTGCCTGTCAGATCATAGTCCCCTACCTGCATTGCTATCACCATTTCTTGCAGATCCTGGTTTCCACATTTCTTGCTAATGAGATTGTTTTTATCTGTAGTTAATACAGAGCCAGCTGTATCCTGGAGGCTCACCACAGCAGGGGTTGTTTCTCACACTAACTACATGGGCACTAGAGACCTTGTAGGGGAGGGGGAAATCTTTTCTTCTACCCTCTTAGGTTCTGTGCCTGGGCTCTGTAAATTACAGCTACAACAGCCAGATTAATAGGAGAGAAGGCATACAAATTTTATCTTAGGTTTTTAATTCCATGGCTTCACAGAAAAAAAGCAAAAACACAAATTGGCTTATGGGTGATAGATTGTGGAGAAGTAACTAGACAAAGGAAAAGGGGTTTGGGCTTCTGGAGGTGAATTTTAGGAAGGAGTCTGGGAAATGTGAGGGAGGAACTAATGATAGGTAACAATTGTTTATGCAGACTCACCTCTGTCCCATCCCTGGTGATAGGAGTTCACACTGTTCTTTTTCTGGCACAGGAGAGGGGGCACCTTTGCAAATGGAAATTTTCTGTACAAATGGGGATTTCTACTTTGCTTTCAGGTGGAGTAGGTGGGAAGGTAGAGAGCTCCTCCTGCGTTTGCTGTTTCTCAACTGCCCTCGGCTAAAATCATCAGGATGCTGAAGTGATGTAATTTGGGGTAGCATATCCCTGTCCCCCTCAGCCTCTTGGTGATTGTACGGCAACACATCCTCAGTCTGAAGGCCAGGTCACAGCCTCTACCACGGATGGGGGTCACAGTAAGGATGCTCCTCTGGATTAATGAAACCCTCGATGGATCTGAGCCATTGGGACCTGCGGCTCAGGGCTCTGTAGTGATGACTGGCAGTGTCTGTTTGGGCCTCTGCTGCCTTAGGATGTGGCAGCAGCCCCCCCAGGGCCATGTCTGCTGCTTCCCATATCTTGATCCAGGCATCTGAGACCACAGGAGCTTTCCTGTTTTGGGGTCTGGTGTTGTCCTTTCCTGGGTGACCCCCTGTCTATGTGCCCCTCTGTCCAGTTTGCACCCTCTCCCCCCAGACAGCACGTGCCTTTCTTCTTGGGGACAGGGCAGAGGACTGTCGGAGGGAGTTCCCAGTGGGGTCCATCACACAGGAAACGACAGGAGGGCAGCAGGCAAAGCCTGGAATCCAGTTCCCAGCCTCCTGGGCCAGATTTACGTGACACTAAATGCCGTGACCAACAGCCCCTGAGTCTCATGCCTTTTCAGCTTCACCCACCAGAACAAAAGTAAGGGAAATATCTCTTGTCCCAAAATCTAGAAACCCCCTCTAGTGGGAGGGAGAAAAAGAACTAATTCAAATGCTGATTTTAATTGTGACAAGACCATATCAGTCAGCTCAGCCTGCACAACAAATACCACAGCCTGGGTGGTGCCAGCAGCACACATGTACTGTTTCCCAAGCCTGGAGGCAGGAAGTCTGGGATCCAGGCGGGGGCAGGGTTGGCTCCTCCCCAGGTCTCTCTCCACAGCGTGTAGATGAGCCTGCTATGAAAAAATGCACTTGGGTGTTCGGTGTGTGTCTTTTACTTCCAATTGTCTGCTTCTCCTCTGACACTTCTGATCACCAAATGTATGTGCGGGGGACGGGTTTTTCCCTACACCCAGCAAGTCTAGGACACCAGCCAGGGGTCCTACAACACAACTCAGTCTGGACACCGTCTAGTGGACTCAGCTCTGGCTCCGTCCACGCAGATCCCGCTCTGACCCTATCCACACAGAGTCAGCATCAGACCCCTCAGTCTTGAGGCTCCGTGGCACAAGACCACGCCCACTTCAGATGCCAACCCCAAAGGGAAGTGTCACCTGTGCTCTGACCCTCTGGCGACAGATCGGAGGTTGCCACAGGCCTGTCCTCGGGGTTGATGAATGTGCTGGAGGGGCTCACAGAACTCAGGGAAATGTTTCACTTGCTAGATTTGTGGTTCATCACAGAAGAAATGAAAGCTTATGAATCAGCAGAGAGACCTGGACAGGTCCTGCCTGCAGGTACTGCTGTCCCCATGCAGTGGAGGGTGCACAACCCTCCCAGTATGTGGGTGCATTCTTGTTCCCCAACCCAAAAGCCCCCTGAACCCCATCCTTCTGGGTTTTCACGCGGGCTTCATTGCATAGACCTGATTGATTAACCCACTGCCCATGGGTGATTGATTCCCTCCCCTCCCCCAGTCCCGCTTGGGGCAGGACTGCAGCCTCCAACCCTCTGGTCCCACAGCTGGGTCCCTGGCTACCAGCCACCGTCTTTCGGAGCTTCCCGAAGTCGCCACAACAACATAAAGGGAGGGGCCTCTCATGGACATTACGACACTTTCGTCACTCTCAGCACAGAAAATTCCAAAGGTTTTAGGAGCTCTGTGCCAAGCATGGGGACGGAGACCAGATACGTGTCACGACAGTCGTCCTCTCCCCGTGTCCTCACGTGGTCGCCCCTCTGTGTGTGTCTGTGCCCTATCCTCTTAGTAGGACACCAGTCCTATGGGATTAGGACCTACCGGAGTGACCTCATTTTGTCTTAATACCACTTTGTCACACTTTGGCTCAGGTCATGATTTCGTGGTCCTTGAGTTCGAGCCCCATGTAGGGCTCTGCACTGACAGCTCAGAGCCTGGAGCCTGCTTTGGATTCTGTGTCTCCCTCTTTCTCTCAAAAATAAAAATAATTAAATATTTCTGCAATTGTACTGTACTTCAGACAACAGCATTCCTTTGGTGTGTATATAGGTATTTTCTGAGGGATACCAACTACACCACAAGTGAGGGAACTCCTGGTGTCTCCCTTTCCCGCTTTTCTTGTGGTCTCTCTCGTGCCCTGCCATGCTGCAAGGGTGCCGGAACATTCTCTGGAAAGCAAGGCTGTGACACTGCCACAGAGGTTTCACTCCCCTTGGCAGCGGCTCTGCCCAAATCAGATCTCCTGAGGACGGTTTTGTGCAGAGGGTTTGCTCAATGAGCACTTCCCCCCCTCGCCTTGCGCAGGGATATAGGCACATATTCAGACACATGTATCAGAATAACTTCCTTGACTACCCATTTATGTGACCCTGAGGGACGTCAGTTACTTCCCTCATTGTCACTTCTTTGCTTCTCTTTGCTCCTCACCTCAGGTCCTCACGCAGAACGTGCAATGTCACAGCCTGTTCCAGAACAGAACAGAATGATATGGACCCGCCCAACCCCCCACCATGGTCTTCCATCATGGTATCCAGCCTATCCTGCCAAAGACACATCATCTGCACGGTTTCCCCAGATGTAGCCAGTTACCCAGCTTCCTCCTCCTCCAGGCTATATGGTAAGATGTGGGGAAGGTTAGGAGGGTTAGTTCTCTGGCACTGGGCAAACCTTTGTAAAGAAAAGGGCTTGGTGATCACAGTAAAGGCGCAGTGGCCAGACTTGGATTTACTTAGGAGCCTAGCATTGAAGGTTAGCACTGATTTTTAAGCCATAAGATGGGCTGTCCCTGAACACTCTAGGCTATTTTGGTGGCACTTCAAGGATGTCACCCACTAACTTGTGTAGATCCTAAAACTTTAGGATTCTTCTCAATGTTCAAAACACACTTGTGCATGTACTACTGTCACTGGTGAAACTTTTGAAGTCTAATGGATAACAAATGGGGTCCAAGGTTGAAAAACACACCCTTGCACATGGATAGCATCATGCTGTCACGGAGACATGGTTCACTCCAAGTGCTTCTCCAGCCAAACTTTCACTCAGCTAGGAGCACCTGGGAAGTGCAGACCAGCATCTGAGGATCACCAGCACTTGCCAGCGACCAGGTTTATCAATTTTAAAAACAAATCTTAACGTTTAGTTCTGAGAGACAGAAGGTGAGCAGGGGGCGGGCTAGAGGAGACACAGTATCTGAAACAGGCTCCAGGCTGTGAGTGCCAGCAGAGCCCCACGTGGGGCTCAAACCCAAGAACTGGGAGATCATCCGGAGCTGAAGTCAGATACTTAACTGCCTGGGCCACCCAGGAGCCCTAACATTCTATCAACCTAAAACTTTAATGAGAACATGCTTGTGCAGTCCCTGGGTAGCTCAGTCGGTTGAGCAGCCAGCAGGGGCTCTGGTCACAATGTCTGGGTTTGGGAGTTGAGACCCACAAAGGGCTCTCTGCTAGTGCCTGCCTGCTTTGGATCCTCTGTCCTCCTCTCTGCCCCAGTTCCACTCACTACCAAAAATAAACATTTAAAAAAACGAAACCTGCTTGCACCCAGCACCCACCACTCACCACCCAGCACAAAAAGACCCTCCACCCGCGTTCTCTTCGCAGCTAATACTCTGGTAGGCTCAAATCCACTCCACTCTTGGGATTATAGGTCACTACACCGGTTGTTGAGTTTTTACTGGGTTAACCCCATGGGAGAACCCTAGGGAACACAACCAGCTAACTGAAGGATTAAGGAAGTAGGAACCAGTCAGGAGGAACCTTAGGATGCACAGCACTCTTTATGAGCTAGTGGTGGCTCTGAAAAGAGCCTTTGGAATGAGAGCGATGGCTCAGGGCCGGGCGGCCTATGCATGCGCTTAAGCACGTTCCCCGCGGATGCGGCGGGCCAGCTGGATGTCCTTGGGCATGATGGTGACGCGCTTGGCGTGGATGGCGCACAGGTTGGTGTCCTCGAAGAGCCCCACCAGGTACGCTTCACACGCTTCCTGCAACGCCATGACAGCTGAGCTCTGGAAGCGCAGGTCCGTCTTGAAGTCCTGCGCGATTTCACGCACCAGCCGCTGGAAAGGCAGCTTGCGGATCAGCAGCTCGGTGGACTTCTGGTAGCGGCGGATCTCGCGCAGGGCCACCGTGCCAGGTCGGTAGCGGTGCGGCTTCTTGACGCCACCGGTGGCAGGTGCGCTCTTACGGGCCACCTTGGTGGCCAGCTGCTTACGCGGGGCCTTGCCGCCGGTGGACTTGCGCGCTGTCTGCTTTGTGCGAGCCATGGTTCTAGTACTGCAGAGAAAATCGAGATTAGTCTTGCCTGGAGACACGACAGCGAGAATTGCGGGCAGTACAGGCTTTTATAAAGGCCGTGGCCTTCCCATTGGCCGGCCGCCCGGTGGCATGACTGCAGGCTGTACTCTGATTGGCCCGCGGGATGCGCCACTCGCCCTCCTGCCCCTTTATCAAGCGCCTCTGCGGCTTGACTGCTGGTAGCTCTGGGATCTCCTGGCGCCACAGGCACGTTTGCTCCCACGCTTGCAGAGGGTCAGGGTCAGGGTCAGGGTCAGGGTAAGGGTCAAAGTCAGGTCACCTCGCTGAGGGCGTCGCTGTGGCATCTCCCACACAGCTCCCTTCTTTCCCCCTCAACGCTCCTCTTGGTATCCACACGAAGAACCTTCTAGAAGATCGCATTCTTAGTTCGGCTTTTCAGTGGTGACCACGTTGTTTTCCTCATCAGAGGTTAAAGGGAGTCCCCACACCCCGTATCCACTTGACTCCGACGCGAATCAAGGGTGCCCCCTTGCTGACCCATGACACGGTGGGGCATGGCCCGTCCACATCTCCATCCTTCCCTCAAGGACGGTTAGCCGAACTGCCTGTCTCCACAGGCGGATCCGAAAGAGGTGCCCATTTGCCTGGACATGGTGCCCCGGGTCCTGATCCCTGGCCCCTCCTGGCAACTGGCTGGCTGGGGACAAGCCTTCCCTGACCCACCATCCCATCAGCCTCCCTGTCGTGTTCCCTCCACCCTACGGAAGGAGATCTCTCATTGCCCGACCCTGGAGACACTTGGGCACCCAGATATGCCATCCCCAAGTGCACATGACATAATTGTTAACATAATTCTGATCTTCCTTTGGTCTACCCGTGTATTTTCTTAAGAGCGTGAGCAAGGGGAAGGTCAGAGATAGAGGGAGAGAGAGGTTCCCAAGCAGGCTCCACACCATCAGCACAGAGCCCCACTTGAGGCTCCAACCTGCAAACTGTGAGAGCATAACCTGAGCTAAACCAAGGGTTGGATGCTCACCCAACTGAGCCCCCCACCCCAGGCACCCCTACCCCTTGCATTTTAGTTGCTTTCCCACAGTTGCCTCTGTTGTTTGTTCAACTTAATGTAAAAGCATTTAGGCTTTGCCCCTCTGTAAGTTTTCATTTCCTTATCAAGGGTCCTGTGTCACAATAAAACCTAAAAGCTTTTCCTTAATATGTGTTTTGTTACAGAGCCCTTGCAGAGTCCTAAAATGAGTAGAAGGAAGAATTTTCCTCTCTCTTTCCCTCTCTTTCTGCCCCTCCCATGTGTGCTCCCTCTCTCAAAATAAATAAACTTGAAAAAAAAAAAAAAAAAAAGAAGAAGAAGAATTTTCCAGTCCTGTTGCAATAGTCCCTTCCCCTCCCTTGTAATAATCTTTTCAGATAAAAGTCCCTCCTTACTAAATCTGCATGTTTTTTGTTTGGTAATGATTGTCACACAGAATCCCTGCTGCCATCCCTGAGTTGGATTGGGTTGTCAGGTCGGGCTGGCTAAGCGCCAGGAGAGGGGTGAGAGACCCACCTAAGGTCACCTAGTGTGTGTGGTGTGGGTCTGATGCAGTCTGATGGGGACTTGTGGGTTAATCTTCCCGGAGCTGTCCCTTGTTCAGGGCAGGCAGCATCTGGAGTTCTGGCGATCCCAAGGGCTAAAGGGGACAATGGTGGGTTGATGGTGGATTTCTGGCACCAGCTTTGGCTTGCACAGGAGAACCCAGAAAGAAGTCCTTTGGGGCTCCACTCAGGCTGCTTTGCTGAGGATGGCCACTCTGAGACTGTCTGAGGCCTCCCTTCTCTGACCACAAGAGCTTTAGTTCTATTTATTTTTTATTTTTTTAATGTTTATTTTTGAGAGAGAGAGAGAGAGAGAAGGAGGGGAGGGGCAGAGAGAGAGAGACAGGATCTGAAGCAGGCTCCAGGTTCTGAGCTGTCAGCACAGAGCCCGACGTGGGGCTCGAACCCACAAACTGTGAGATGATGCGCGACCTGAGTCAAAATGAAGAGGCAGACGCCCAACCAACTGAGACATCCCGGCGCCCCAGTTCTGATTTTAGATTTGTGTTTCCAGGTTACCAGGGGACCTGAGTCCACTCTCTGGACATGAGTGAGAATGTCACCTGGTTCCATGTGTCTGAACAAACACACACACAAAACATGGAATGGGGGGTTGCCTAATGTGCACTCCCCCAGGAGGATTTGAAACCATAATCTGCATTACATGTGTCAATACAAATTGAGCAAATCTTTACACAAATTTCCCCCATTTATTTAAATTTTGAAAAGGTAAAGGGTTTTATGTGAGTTTCCTGGACACAGCATCTCACAAAGAAGATGATCCAGGGAAGGTCCAGGGAAGGAACATTTGGTTCAGGGTTACATCATCATCACCATCATCATCATCATTATTACTATTATTATTTTACATAAAGAGCTACAGGTCATCATGATGAAGAACATTCCAGAAGGTTACAGACTATATCTTATGTTTGTAGTATGCACAAGGCTGTATGCCTTTAATCTTATGGGAATCAGGGAGGTCTTTGTTTTTCTTCATGTTTGGAATGCTCCTTTTTGATTATATATATATATTTTTAGTGGAGCAGATGTACAGAAATAGAGCCTATGCTTTGAGGTTCTGCTGAGTCTTTTTTTTTTTAATGCTTATTTATTTATTTATTTTTGAGAGAGAGAGAGCATGAGCAAGACAGGGGCAGAGAGACAGTAAGAGAGAGTCCCAAGTAGGCTCCACGCTGTGAGCACAGACCCCAACACGGGGCTCGAACTCATGCACCATGAGATCATGACCTGAGCCAAAATCAGGAGTCCAACACTTAACGAACTGAAGCAGCCAGGCACCCTTTGCTGAGTCTTTTTGACCTTGGTAAAGGCTAAAGTATAGCTTCCCTGGGAGCCCGAAGGCAGAGCCCACAAACCAAAAAAGTCAAGAATTGGGGTGCCTGGGTGGCTCAGTCAGTTAAGTATCTGACTACTGATTTTGGCTCAGGTCATGATCTCACAGTTCATGGGGTCATGTTCTGTGTTGGGCTCTGCTCTGACAGCGTGGAGCCTGCTTGGGACTCTCTCCCTCTCTCTGCCCCTTGCCTGCTCATGTTCTCTCTCTCACTCTCTCTCTCAAAAACAAATAAACATAAAAAATGTTTTTTTTAAAGTTGAGGGGCACCTGAGTGACTCAGTGGGTTAAGCATCCAACTTCTCTCAGGTCATGATCTCATGGTTCGTGGGTTCAAGCCCCGAATCGGGCTCTGTGTAGACAGCTAGTTCAGAGCCTGGAGCTTGTCTTAGGATTCTGTATCTCCCCCTCTCTCTGACCCTCCTCTTCTAGTGCTGTCTCTCTGATTCTCAAAAATAAATAAAAAACATAAAAATAATAAATAAATAAAGTTGAGAGTTTCCTTTATCACATGTTAAACCTCTTTTTAGGAGCACTTGGGTGGCTCAGTCAATTAAATGTCCGACTTTGGCTGAGGTCATGACCTCACAGTTCATGGGTTTGAACCCTGCATCGGGCTCTGTGCTGACAACTCAGATCCTGCAGCCAGCTTCCCATTCTCTGTCTCCCTCTTTCTCTGCCCTTTCTCTGTTCATTCTTTCTTTCTGTCTGTTTGTCTCTCTCTCTCTCTCAAAAATAAATAAAGATTAAAAAATTTAAAAAACAAAATAAAGGGGCACCTGGGTGGCACAGGTGGTTAAGCGTCCGACTTCAGCTCAGGTCATGATCTCGTGGTTTGTGGGTTCAAGCCCCGTGTCGGGCTCTGTGCTGACAGCCAGCTAGAGCCTGGAGTCTGTTTCAGATTCTGTGTCTCCCTCTCTCTTTGACCTTCCCCTGCTCATGTGCGCTCTCTCTCTCTCTGAAATAAATAAAACATTAAAAAATTAAACAAAACAAAACAAAATAAAAACCTCTTCTCAGTTGGTTCAGTTGACAGTTTTCATGATCTCAGCAACTGACTTCCATGTGGTTCCTATTCCCTCAGAGACACTGAGACCCAGGGAAACACATCCTCTACAAAAAATTCCAGAGAAATTTGGTCTCTCTGAAGAGTACTTCAGATGCAAACATTCCTCCCCCACCCCCACCGAAGTATTGGCTTGTCCAGGACACATACATTTTATAGATAAGGTTGTGTTATAGATCGGGTCCGTGCATACATTTGGTGCCAATACTATGATGGGGAGAACAAAGGGAAAAGAAAGGTAGCTAACGTTAAGTGTCCCTACAGCTTGCAGCCCAGTCATTAATCCCTGAGGCGTGTGGAGCGTGACCTTCCTCAAGGAACTCATGGCTCCCTTAATGATGATGTTTTACTAGAGACTAAAAACAGCCTCACCTTGACAATAACTAGACCTTCAGGGTCCTGGAAACCTCGGTTGCAGCCTTCATCAATTCCTTAGAAACTTAGTATCTCTACCCACCCTCCCTCCACAAACTTCAATATACATCATCAGTCACTCCTCACAATCCCAGGGCAACTCTTTCTGCCCATGCGTCTGGGCCCTGTGCTATGATAAAAGCATCTTTTACTCCATAAAGCATCTCAAGAATTCTTTCTTGAACATTGAGCGTGGTGACCCGGCATCGGCTACCATCCTGCACCGGGGGGAAGCCCTCCCTAATCTGAAATGTCCTTCCCTTGCTCTCATCATTCATGGAATTTGCACCCACAGCTAAGGAAATACAGGGTTGTATGTAGGGCTCTGTTGTAGGTCCTTTGGGGTTTGAGGTCGCAATGGTTGACCGTGTGCATCATCTCACACACACACAATGCTGTTCTCCAGTGCAAAAACTCCCTGGTCTCCCTCACCCGCGTGACAGCAAGCTGAGAACCATCTGGACTTTCAGGAGCTCAGTCCAAAGGCAGAGTGGGGTTCTTGTAAGGGGCAGGTGATCCTGTAAACGGTGTGCGAAGGCTGTTCCAGATCTGACAGCTACAGGCGATGCTAGGGCTCCCAGCTCTTAGTAGGGACCCTTCTGATACTCCAGCCGATACCCCGTTTCTCTGGCTCCCTTTATAGTAAACTCCTACTGACCATCTCCAGGTCCCACCTTCCCATTCTCTGGGCCTGGAGCACAGAGAGCGTTCACTTCGAGTCACCCAGAATCCCACGAGGAGATGACATTCAGTGCTAGGGGCATGGGGCACGCCCCAGTCACTCACACTGTCAGCAACCTTGCAGCGTTCAGAGGATGCACAAAGCACCAAAGTGCTTTGAGGCAATGCAACGTGCTGGTTCTCTAGCCATAACGAGGTCCCCAGGACAGGGTCTGCTCCTCACTTAGACTCATTTCATAAGAGGCTTGGCTTGGGGTTGTCTCCACTGCAGTGATTCCCCACGGCCTCCACAGTAAGAACAAACTCTGCTGGGGCACCTGGGTGGCTCAGTCGGTTAAGCGTCCGACTTCAGCTCAGGTCACGGTCTCACGGTTCGTGGGTTCGAGCCCCACAGCAAGCTCTGTGCTGACAGCTAGCTCAGAGCCTGGAGCCTGCTTCAGATTCTGTGTCTCCCTTTCTCTGACCCTCCCCTTCTCATGCTGTCTCTATCTCTCTCTCAAAAATAAATAAAATATTAAAAGAAGAAGAAGAAGAAGAAGAAGAAGAAGAAGAAGAAGAAGAAGAAGAAGAAGAAGAAGAAGAAGAAGAACGAACTCCGCCAAGTGGTTATATACATTTCCTAATGGTGCTTTGCAACTTTGGCCCTTTGGGAGGTTTCCTTTTACTGTTTACTGTGTTTCCTTTTAATGGCAAGCATTTAATTTTTTTTTCTTTTTTTTGACCTCATGAATCCCTCTGGCAGTTTGGTGAAGCTGGGAATTTTTTTTTCTTTTTTTAAATGTTTTTGTTTATTCCTGAGAGAGAGAGAGAGAGATGGCATGAGCAGGGGAGGGCCAGAGAGAGAGGGAGACACAGAATCTGAAACAGGCTCCAGGCTCTGAGCTAGCTGTCAGCACAGAGCCCAACGCAGGGCTCAAACCCACTAACCATGAGATCATGACCTGAGCTGAAGTAGGACGCTTAACCAACTGAGCCAACCAGGTGCCCCAAAGCTGGGAATATTTTTAAACATTTTATTTTATTTTTATCTTTTTTATTTTAGAAAAAGAATGAGAGAGAGCAGGGGAGAAGGGCAGAGGGAGAGAGAATCGGAAGCAGGCTCCATGCTCAGCCCAATGTGGGGCTCAATCCCACAACCCTGGATCATGACCAGAGCCAAAGTCAGGAGTCAGACACTCACCTGACTGAGGCACTCAG